CTGCTGATGTGGAGCTTCTAGATCTGCTGAGTCTGACAGAGGCAGGAGGGTCAAACTGGAGAAGCTCTGACGTTTTCATAGTTCACAGCATCATCATTATGTTCATCGTGATCCACCTGATTAAAAGACAAAAAATAGAATAACACTACATCTGATACATCTAATAGATTGTAAATTCAGTGTTTTATCTTTAGTTTTATAACATTTAGCATAAAAATTAAACTGTCAGTATTAGAAGGATGAGATGATGTCAGAGACTAACTGATAGAATTTAAAAGCTGTGACTATTTCCATTTGATGCTATTTTAGCAAAGCAGCAATGAGCTTCATCCTCTTTGATCTTCATCCAACTTTTTTCATTCTTATTCATTTTATAAAGTCAGTTTCAGATCAGAAGAGTTAATAAACTCACCTCTCTGCAAGTTTTTGTTTTGTTGCCTGAAAATGTAAAAGATTGCAGATTAGAATCTAAAGTTCAGTTAGAAGATAAATTCCGATGAACTGAATCTAATATTCATAAACAGGTCATCTCTCACCTTTAATCTTCTTTATGAAAACAACAGAAGGTATTATCATGACCACTAGAACCAGAGGCAGAGTGATGGACCTCCAAGGTAAAACTGGAGAGAAAAGATTAAAAAAATGTGAAAATATGAAGCTTTTAAAAGTTTTATTAGTCGTTTAAATCTATGGTATATATCATCAGATCAGGATGATTTAGTTCCAGATTCTTCCAGTACAATTTGGTTTGTTTTCTCCTGTGTTTCTGCTCTCTGGTTTGTCTTTTAGTTCACCTGTGCCTGATGTTTCTGATGTTTCTCTTGGTTCGGCTGTAACTGATGGTGATGTGGTCGTTGTTTTGTGTTGGTCTAAGAAAAGCAACAGAAGTCAACAATAAACATTTTGCTTCATGTAAATAAAAAACTCTAAAAAGTCTTTAAACAGGTTTTCATAATTCCTACCTGATGGATGAGAGCTGAAGGTAAAAAGATGAACTTTATGATCTTCTGTTTTTATTTCACACTTTAAATCAATAAACCTTGTTTGGTAAATGAAATGAGACGTCTGGAAGGTGACAGCAGCAGAGCAGGAAGATAATGATTCTGTTATTTCTTTGTTTTCTTTATCCACATCTCTACCTTTATTTAACCACTTCACTCTGTGTTTACACTCCCTATGAGTCACCACAGAGCAGCTTAATGTCACCCTGTTCTGGTTCTGATCTTCTGTCACTGAAGATGATTTGAAAGAGAAAATCAGAGGAATTATGGTTCCATCAGATCATGAAATCATTATGATTCAGCTGTCAGCAGGTTGTTGTCAATAAATGCTGAAAATATTGTTTAATACTTACAG